GTCACTATACCTAACAGATGTCCCTTCTATAAACTTACAGTGGTAGAAATAGGATTACTAGAGTAATTTCTTTCTTTCTCAATAGGAATAATGAGAGACATAGTTTCTTCTCTAATTTCATATCTTTCTTTCTTTTTCTTTTCTTTTTTTTTTTTTTTTTTTGGTACTGGGGATTGAACTCGAGGCACTCAACCACTAAACCACATCCCCAGCATTATTTTGTATTTTTTATTTAGAGACAGGTTCTCACTGGGTTTCTAAGGGTGCCACCATGCCTGGCTGTTTCTTGTATTCTGCCAATGCTCTGAGCCTTGTAATAATGTATGTAAATGCTCTGACTACTTACATGTCTCTCTCCTAAAGTTTTAGATTATTACCTGACCACAGGTAATAATTATACCAAATGTTTTCCACTGTATAATATGAATAAACATCATTCCATTTTCCAGTGTCACTTTCGTCCCATTCTACTTCTTGACTGCTAAGCTAATGCCATACAGTTGTGGAATATCAAGCTCTCACTTCCCTGTATCACTGAAGGTAGGCTGTTCTACCCTGTGATGAAAAATAAACCACATTTAGGAGAAACTGGAAGATCAGAAGATGGTTTTTGCAGAATACCATGACCCAGAATATCAAATTGTTTCATTTTATGTTTCTGCCATCTCAGAACCATTGCCTACAAAGTCACCAAAAAAGAAACGGAGAAATAAGAGCAGAAGGAGGAGGAGGAATAGGAGGAAGTGAAGAAAGGAAGCCCAGAATCTTATGGGAGATTTCAGGCACCATCTTGGGAGTGTTCTGTATTGATTTTTTTCTACATGTCATTGGGCCCCATTCTATCTTCAGGACAATCCTATGTACTCAGGAAGGGGAAACAAAATTGGTGAGCTTTTAGCTAGTCACCCCCACACCCAGCTCTCACTGTTTATATTTTCCTAGTATATATTTTACAGTCTTTCACACTCATACTTTCTGAGTCCTTATATTTTAGGTATTTATTTTGTAAATATTACATTATTTAACTTATTTTTTAAAAATCTGATCTGATAACCTCTGTCACTTAACTAGGAAACTTAGTCTGTTCATTTTTAATATGATTATTTTCTTGATATATTTCATCTATATTCTTTGTTTCATTTTTTTAGTCTGCTTAAAGATTGATCAATTTGCCTTTATTTTTTTCTAGTGTTCCATTGATTGAAAAATTATATATTCTTTTTCTATTTTTAGCGATATCTCTATGCTCTCACTGAAATTATTTCCTCATATACCTTAATCAAAATATATGTCTTAAACTTATCACTATCCAGTATTTTCGCTTCTTATTTTAAAACTCACAGATTAGCAAATATTATTTCTTCCATTTTGCAATAAATTTATCAATTTTCTCTCTTTTACTTTTCTCAGAATTCCTTCTTGCATCTTAATGTTTCCTTCTATTACCAAATTTCCTCTTCCTGAACTACACTTTTTAGAGGTTTTTCCCTTAATGGCCTCTTGCTTTCTGTTTTATGAATGCATATGTCTTTCTATCTCAGTCTCTTTATTAAATGACATTTTACTTGCATATTAAAGGTATAATAATTAGCTATATAAAGAACAAATGAACAAAGTAATGGTTTGATCCAGAAAAGTCTAGATAAAGTTTTTAAGTGTCTCTTTCCTTAAGTGTTTTAAAGTTTAATGTACTTCAGAATCTATCTGATTAAAACAATGGAATTGCTCTTGAATTTTCCTCGGGTAAACATATTCTATCTAGAATGTCAAACAAAGTGGAAAGTTAGAGTTGGATTTATACTTTTTTTAATTTTTTTACTGCTATTTAAAAATATTCAAATACAAGTGAATCTCAATTATGACAAGTATTCTTTAAATCTTGCCATATATTTGTTTTGTTTTGTTTTGGTAGTTCCAGAGATTGAACCCAGGGCCTCACACATGCTGGACAGGTGCTCTGTCACTGAACTACATCCCCACCACAGATACACACATGCACACATACACACCCTTTTTTAAAATTTTATTTTGAGACAGGGTCTTAAAGTTGCCCACGCTGGCCTTGTGCTTGCAATCCTTCAGCCTCAGCCTCCCAAGTCACTGGGATTATAGGCATGTACCACCATATCCAGCCTCCATCAGATTCTTTTTTTTTTTTTTAATTTTTTATTGTGGATTGTTCAAAACATTACAAATTACTTGACATATCATATTCCACACTTTGATTCAAGTGGGTTATGAACTCCCACCTTCACCCCATACACAGATTGCAGATTCACATCAGTTACACATCCATTGATTTACAAATTGCCATACTAGTGTCTGTTGTGCTCCGCTGCCTTTCCCATCATCCACCCTCCCCCCTCCCCACCTCTCCCCTCCCCTCCCCTCCTCTCTCTCTACCCCCTCCACTGTATAACCCTGAGGGTCTCCTTCATTACCGTGCAATTTCCCTTCTCTCTCCCTTTCCCTCCCACCTCTCATCCCTGTTAAATGTTAATCTTCTTCTCCTGTTCTTCGTCCCTACTCTGTTCTTAGTTACTTTCCTTATATCAAAGAAGACATTTGGCATTTGTTTTTTAGGGATTGGCTAGCTTCACTTAGCATAATCTGCTCTAATGCCATCCATTTCCCTGTAAATTCTATGATTTTGTCATTTTTTAATGCAGAGTAATACTCCATTGTGTATAAATGCCACATTTTTTTATCCATTCGTCTATTGAAGGGCATCTAGGTTGATTCCACAGTCTTGCTATTGTGAACTGTGCTGCTATGAACATCGATGTAGCAGTGTCCCTGTAGCATGCTCTTTTTAGGTCTTTAGGGAATAGACCAAGAAGGGGAATAGCTGGGTCAAATGGTGGCTCCATTCCCAGCTTTCCAAGAAATCTCCATACTGCTTTCCAAATTGGCTGCAGTTACAGTTTCCCTTGACATGTCTTTCAAACGTGAAGTTGACATTTAGAGGAAAACTAAATGACACCTTAATCTAAGATAAAACTCAAAACTTTCAAGATATATAGTCCAGAAATAGGACTTGAATGTTCTTTTAGAATGTATATGTGTATCTCAGATTATTTTGCTATATTTATATATTAGTTTTTCTAAGTCTATAGACATTCTTATAGTGTGTGTAATTTTTTTTTCACGAGTCCCCAAATTTATTTTCTTCATTATAGAGCTTTCTTATTTAGGAAGCAAGTAACAGTTCAGCAGGCAAGTAACCTAACAAAGCCAATTTGTCAATGTCAGAAGAATTATCCCTCTTCAGAAATGATCAAAGATGTCTAGACTTGAAGGGAAAAAAAATGAGTCAGAATTATGTTAAGCTCAAACAATCTAAATTTCTTATCAAATTGTTATTTGTACAATTCTGAAACATTACTTATGAAGCCATCCATTTTTAAGATAAATGCAAGTCAAAGGTTTATTATTTTATGGCACACTGTGGTGTAAAAGAATATAAATTGACTTTGAGCAGACCAAGAGTCTATTAAAGTCAGAAAGAATCTCCAAGTTGATCTCTAAGTATGTGAAAAATGCATGGATTAAGAGAAGGGAAACTCAACACCAAAGAGAATGTGGAATGGTTTATCTAGATGACTTCTTTTCTTTTGTTAACAGCCATTTCAGAATGAAATTATATATAATACTAGTTTACAACTTCAGCATATATATATATATATATATATATATATATATTCAATGTATATTTAAATATATTAAATATATGCTCTCTCTCTCTCTCTCTCTCTCTCTCTCTCTATATATATATATATATATATATATATATATATATATATATTTTCATGTATTCCAACATGTATCCCAATAGATGCTGAGGACATTAGTATATTGATCATCACAAATATGACTGAGAAGAAATAAATCTTGTCCAATTCTCTCTGTTTATGAAGGTTTCAATATGGGAAATACATTTATTGAAATGGTATTGTCAACTAAGGAAGTGGGTCACCAGTTTTTAAATGGTTTAAGTTATCTGAAAATGAACTTATGTGAGATTTCTTTCCCTTTGTGCTCCATAGTAAATACAGCATTATTCTATCGCTTTTCTGTTTGATCTCAATTTCTATTTAGATAATGAATAATTTTTAATTTAAAAACTTTCTGCCTTCAACGTAAAATTCTGAAAGATAAGAGAGACACAGAAAGGCAGGCATTGTATGATTACACTTATATAAATGACAAAATGAGTCCACATTAACCTCTGCTGTTAGCATTTGGGATGACTGGACCTAGCAAGGGGTAGAGCTGGGAAATGAGTAGGAAATGTGCCACTGACATCCAGCTCCTTGTTCTGGATGTGAAACTGGATTTATTGGGTTTGTGAACATTTATTGAGATACACAGTTATCATATGTGTACTTCTCTAAATCCACATTGTGCTTCATTGAAAATGTGTTTTCTCAAGATCTGAAAGTTAGTATGTGAGCCATCTAGCAGAGGGCTGGTCTGTAGACACATAGAAGAGTACAATGATAAGTTGGACCAGTCCTCAAAGCTGTCTGAAATAGGAGCCAAGAGAGCATTTTTAAATCCAAAGCATATCTATTAAATGTCTTTTAATCTTGAATTTGCTGGATTAATACAACGGTGTTAAATATTAATTTTATCAGTCATGGAATGCAAAATAGAGTGATGCATAATGTCACTAGATCAAAATTCAAGTAAGCTGGGAAAATTGGCTTTGTTCAGAATTCTACCAGATGAATTAAAGAACAGTATTCTATCTCTGTAGTTATAAAATAGCCTTTAAATGAATATTAACTCAGAACAAGATCATATGTAAAGGAAAAAAATTCAATTAATGGTAAGATTCTAAGTCAAAGTAGGTACCACAGCCCTTTCTCATTCATTGGCCTAATCTCTTAGATTTCTAGGCAGAATCAGCAAATTTTCAGGTCCAGTTATCTTAATTGCACTTTCTACCATCAGGAGGCCATTTATTAGAGAAATCTTGTCTCTTTGTCTCTTAACAGAGAGAAAAGAAGAATATTGCTGCTCAGCGAACTAAGAGATCCAGCAGGGAGGGCTCTGTCACTCCTGATAGCCCTCCACCATCCATGTCCTCAGTCATGAAGAATAATCCACTCTATGGGGACTTAAGTATGGAGGAAGCTATGGAAGAAAGAAAAAAGAACCCTTCGTGGACCATTGAGGAATATGATAAACGTTCTCTGCACACAAACCTCTCGGGACATCTGAAGGTATTTAAGACTAAGAAACACCTTCTTCATTTGATGAGGGGGATCAATTAAATAACCCTAGAAGAAAGTATTAGTGAGATGGCAGGCACTCTTTACTAGACACAGAATCTCCATGTTTCAGATTATTTGGGCCTCTGACTTTGCTTTCTCCCTCTTAGTCAAAATCTGTGTTTATTTGTTTTGAGTTTTACACTTTCAGTCATTACTGGCATCTATATAATGTAGAGAGGAAAAAAAAATAATGTGGCATTGAACAAAGATTTTTCTGGGAAGATAAAATGTTTTTGAAAATTAATTGGTAAGATTATCTGTTTTCCCCTAGTTTGTAACCATTTTGTTCATGAACATTTAAGAATTTATTTCCCATCCTGTATTTATTTAAAAATATTTAAGTGCTTTGTCTTAGGTACTGGGCAAGGGAGTTCTTAACAGAGATCATTTCATTTCAAGCTCACCCCATGATTTAAGATTTACATTTTGGTCATTTTCCTGTGTCTCAGTAACAAAACAAAACAAAACAAAAACATTTCAACACAGCAAAAGTATGCAATGAACTCATTCACCCAGTTTAAACCCAACTTAAGTTTTTCTTTCTTTTCTTTTTTTTTTCTCCTCTGATGTCACCCGCAAACAGAAGACCTAGAAATACCTGAAAAGCAGAGAGGGTGGCCCTCTGTTTTCTGAAAGGACTGGATTCCTAACCAGCCTTGGCTTGTCTTCATCTGTCTTGGGCCAATAAAGCCTGACATTTTCCAAGTACCTTTTTGAAAAAATGTGTATCTGTTACCTGATACACATTATACCTTATACCTGAAGTACCAGAGGCCTTTATTTTTTTTTTTCCTTTGAAGGGGACAGTACGTATCCCCTTAAGTTCTACCCACACTTTAAAAATCTCAACTAAGCATTCCTTGATATACTTTGTGGTCCAGAATCTTTGATGTTTCATAAATTACATTATAGAATCTATCTCTTCCTTACAGTAGACCCTTTCCAAGTCATTTCCAAAGCAGATTCTCCCCCACATGTACATGTCTTTTCCTTTTCTTTCTTCTTTAAATCTTGGGTTTCTTAACAGGAGGTTTAAGGCTAGGACTTCTAATCTACTGTTAGAAAAAAAAATGTATTTATTTCCAAATTTCCAAACATTTCTTGACCACATGCTTTTGTTTTTGTCTATTATTTATGTTCATGAGAATGAAATGTAGAGATGGATTTTATGTCCTTGCTCTCAAAAAATTTATTTAACTGAGCAAATTAACAAACACTAACTATAGAACAAGACACAGCAAGATGACTGCAATCATAGTTAGAAGTGCTGGGAAGATTTGGTAGGGGATAAAAATCAGCCCTAATAATAAAAAAAAAAAGACTTCATGACAAAGTTCATTTTTGTTGAGCTTGAAGAATTAAAAATAAATGAGGATAGTTTGCATAAGTGGGGAGGCTCTTCTTGCTGGAGCAGCAAGAACAAAGGCAGAAATACAGGAAAGTGAGAGAATGTGTGGAAGTCCAGTTTTGCAAGAGCCACAGTCTATGTAATAGAATGGTGGGGAAAAAGACTAAGAAATAAAGAAAAAAAAATGTTTGAGAGTAGGAGAGATCAGGGATGGGGAACGTTGATGGATGGTTACCTGGTTGCAGCTGGGCAGGAGACGGAAGCTGTGGTGGGCTGTTATTCACAGAAGGTGGATGGCTGCAGATGACAGTTCAGTAGTGTGCATTTCAGAAAGCCAGAAGAAAGATACTTATCACTTTCAATTATGAAGAAATATACATATTGGAGGAGATAGATGTGTTGAACCTGTTTTAAACATTATAATGTTTAATGTATCACTTAAACAACTTTAATTTTTAAAAGTTTCAATGTTAATCTAAGGAAATGGAAGATGATTGGCAATGAAGACTAATTTTTATAAGTTGAACAAGTATGTGAATTATGTTTGGAAAGATCAAACATAAACATAAATGACACATTGTTTTGCTGAAAACAACAATCTGTGCCACACCCTACCAGTCCTCTATGTGTACACGCACACACTCTCCTTCCTCAGGCCTGTTCACGGACCTCATGACACTATTCTACAGCACTAATTTCCTGAGGGAAGCTTCTGGAAGCCATGGCTTCTGTTTATATTAAAATTTCTTCCCATACCTCCATAATTTAACTCCTTTAATTATCGTTCTACCTTCATCTCATATTTAGCAAACAGAGCCCCTAACATATTTTCTGAAACTCTGACACCTTTTATGGGTGGTTAAGGTACCTGAAGCCAGAAGCAGAATTTAAGGAAGGATAGTCTCCATGATGAAAGCTTTTAATGGACAACAGAGGCATGAAACTTGGCACAATGCAGACCTCTGATTAGGACTCAAATAAGATGAAAGATAAGAGTAAGGCAGACAAATATTTTTATATATCAATATCCTTAGGTATGGGTCCTCCAAATTTTATTGTAGTATTTGAGCATTTCTAAGACTAAGAAGTTCAAACTCATACCACTGTGATGGAAGAGCTATAATGTCACTGCCAGATGTATCCCCACTCCCTGCATGCATGCACATTCCTCTAGCCATGCACACAGAAGTCTGAAGCTAGTTCAGTGAACCCTGAGATTGACAGCCGTGGAAGCCGGTGGTGCCACACTCCAGCTGACTTTATGTCCACTGAGACTGGAAAGGCAGGGAGAGGGTGGGCAGCTTGCTTCCTGCCCTTGCAAGCAAAGCATCCAGGAGAGCAATAATGAGGCCTGGAGTGACTTTGTGAAAGCAGCACTTCAGCAATCCTTGTAAATTTATTGCATGCCTACTAGGTGTCAGGCATGGACACTGAATCGGTAGCACTAAAACAGCAGAGGATAAGAAGAAATGTAATTTTTCAAATGTATGGACAGTAGAGTTTGCAGGTGATTTATTAGATGTAGGAGAGCAGGTTCACTTGAAGATGACTCTCTGGGAATGAAAGGAACATGAAGCCAGTGAAACAGAAACACAGAGAACAGGAACCCACATGAGAAAGGAAATACTGGGTCTTTTCTTTAGACGGTCAAATGGTTGTGAAGCTTCTGCAGGGCAGACAAGCTGAAGCTCTCTACAAGGGAGACCAACAGGTTGAAAATCACAGAATGGACTCATGACACTTAATCTTATTCTCTCTCCATGGAAATCAGCTTGTGTGTTTACTGAACAAGCTCACCAAATATGCTTATCCCTGCCGTGCAAACAAAATCAAACCCCTAAGGTTCACCTAAAGCAAGGAATTTTAATTCTATATCAGCTTACTAACCTGATTTATACACACTACTTATAAGGTATAAAAAATACTAAATTGGCTAAAAGATGACAGAAACACTGTTTTTTTTTTTTTCTGAACCTCCAATGTCAGCAATTTAATAAGAAATTGTTCAGGTTCCCTAATGAATTCTGATGCAGATCTATAAATTAGCTGCAGGATCCCTGGTCAGCCAGGAGACTGTAGTGGGCTTCTTTAACATTCAGGGAAGTCAAGCCTCTCTTCCTCGAGCTGTGTCACCTAAGCCTCACCTAGGACAACCTTAATATGGACCTTCAGGATCTCTGACAGTGTCTTGTTGTGCAATTTTAGTCTGTAACACTGACTGATCACTGATTGATGATATTCTCTATGTAATTTTCTTTTAGGAAAATCCCAATGACCTACGATTTTGGTTGGGAGATATGTACACACCGGGTTTTGACACCTTATTGAAAAAAAAGAAGAAGCGTGAAAAGCGATCAAAATTATGTCGCATGGGTCTAATTTTACTCCTTGTTACTTCCATCTTGGTTACCATAGTGACTATCAGCTCTCTTTTCACCTAAAGACATTGCCACAGAGTCCCTTTGAATGTCTTAAAAAGCTTTCTAAACATTTGCAGGAAAACATGTTCATGCCGTATGAATGTATTGTTGACTGTGCAATTCAGTGTAATCGTCCTGTAGAATGTGAACATTGTTTGTGACATGCTGGCTTCTCTGCTTTCTTCTGTGAAACCTGTGTACAAATTCCAGCCTGTGCTTTGTCCTTAGGGAAGCAGGGATTCTGAGGCTCAGATCACAGAAAAGTCACTGTAGTGCAACCAAAATTAATCACTTCAAGAAAGAGTAAAAGAGCATGGGTTGTCAGCAGGTTTGTCTCAATACTCGAGTCATTTTCATCTTGTTTTTTAAAATACGAGTCACCCCTCTCCACCCCATTCTCATGTAGGCACAAAGGAAGTATGAGCCAATCGGTTTTTAAAACAAGGTGGAAGGAGTGGGGGAGATTTTGTTCAAACCTATTCTTGTTTTCCCAGTAATCATTTATAATGACCCTATTTCATGTTACCATTTTAGCAAGACTAAACTTGGACAGGCCATAGTTATTTAGTTAATTACATTTAGATCTAATTGTGTTTATTACTAGATCCAAATGGGCTAGTGTGACCCCTGGTGGCAGTCAGTGAGTGTATGTTTCCAGCCATGGCCTAGGTTATAGGGGCCCTAGAAAAGCAGGAGAACTGCCAAAAGAAGAGGCTTTGAATCCTAACTGTGCCGTTTACTAACTGTTGAGCCTTGAGAAAGATATTCTCTGGGATAATGGGTAACACCATCTCCATAACAGAGCTGCCCTAAAGACTAAATAAGAAATGCAAGTAAGGAGGACTCCTGGCTCCTAGTACCTAGTTGCTTAGTTAGAGGTATGGTCATTACTGATTTGTGCTAGCTAAGTGGCAGCCCCAGTTCACCTTCCATTGCCTGCAGATACTTGGAGACAGGTTCAGGAATCAACTACTTGAGTCACCTTGCTCCCTTCATCCTGCAACACCCTTCCCTAAGTCCCTCATCCTACTCCTTTCTCGAAACAACCCACCCTAATGCTTTCTTGTGTATGAAACAAAAGAAGGAATTTTTCCCTTCCAATTAAATAAAGCTGGCTTTTGTCCTTTGATATTGCCATATTATTTTGTTGTATTTCCTTTAAAGGTAATTAAAATAAAGTCCATTAAAGTGCAGATTTCCTGGACAATAAAATCATTGTGCACAAAGTATTGTCTTATGGTCTTTGTAGTTTCTGATTTCTCATTCCTCCTCTCCTCCATGGTGGGTTATAGGACAATGTAGGACTGAATGACCAGAGAATGGAAGGTTTGGGGCTTCTTTTGAGGACAGGCCCACTCTCACTGGGGGGCACCTCTTTAACACCCCTTGCTTTCACTTCATCTTCAAAGCTGGCCTGCCCAATGTTGACCTCTAAGGAATTCAAAACGCATTCAGGTCTCTTGCTTGCATGGAAAGCATTTGTGCCATATCTGGTTATATGTGGCTGTTCAAGACAACATCCAGGTAAGGCTTGCAAAAGCACCAAGCAGGAGTAACCACAGACGTGTGTGAACGCTGCTTTCCTGAGCTCCTGGCTTGCCCCACCCATCTCACTACCTCACTCTTTTTTCAGCCAAGCACCTAGAATTCTTCCACACTTCCTAGTCCATCTCCACTCTTATTTTTGATAATATCTGTCATTTCTTTCTCAATATTACATTGCTACAAAATCAGTCTTTATTTTTAGCCTTCTGTGTAACAGTGAAATAAAAGTATGGTATTATCCCTCACTGAATTAATGTTGTGCGTCTACACATGCCATAAAATCATAAATGGAGTGTGTCCCTGGCTACGCTCAAAACCATACTGTGAATGGAGTTCTGATTGCTTCTTCAGTATGGGCCCGAGCAGAAAAAGCATAAGGTCATGGAAAGTACAGAATGGTGGCTCTAAACATGCTCGTGTCCAAGTCTGCAACTTCTTGAGTCCCTGGTCCAGATTCAATGAGTAAATGTGTATAAAGCATTTAAATATGACCTTTTCCCAAAAACCCAAATGTCAAATATTTTCTTTGATAGAAGGTGGCTGACTCATAGTGGGATAGGGAGGGGGAGCATGGGAGGAATAGAAGAACTCTAGATAGAGCAGAGGGTTGGGAGGGAAAGGGAAGGGGCATAGGGTAATTAATGATGGTGGAATGTGATAATCACTTTTATCCAAAGTACGTATATGAAGAATTGGTGTGAATATACTTTGTATACAACCAGAGATATGAAAAATTGTGCTTTATATATTTAATAAGAATTGTAATGCATTCCACTATTATATATAAATAAAAATAAAAAACAAAAAATATGACCTTAGGCACATGCTAAATAGTCAACAAATAACAATATTATCTTCAACAGTATTTTAGCCACTTTTTTTCTAAGGTGGGACAAGAAAATCTGAGTTCCATAAATGCTTAAGTAATAATAATTTAGTCATAAATAATAATTTTCACAGATTCTTTGGAAGACATGCCCCAACACTTTTGTTTCTTTGCTTTTGTGTTGCTTTATTTTTGTATACAAGGTTTGTGTGCAAATACCTAAAACCAAATTTCATATTATAAATTTTCTAGAGAAAAACAAATTCCAATTTTGCACACTGTCTTAAAATACTTTCAGATTTAACAGAAAGATTGAAAAAAATTTTTTCCACGTAATCCGTTAATGGCCTTTCTGATTATGTTCATGTTGCTGTCACCTACTGGAGAATTCAGTAAGTGGAACACACAAAGGGGTGGTCTGTGGCTGCTCCATTTATTTGGAGTGCTCTACTGCCATCTGGTGGCCATATTTACTTTGCCTGGAGTTAGCTCATGAAAGAGCATTCTACAGAAAGGACATTTTTCACTTCAGGCCTAATTATGCTTCTATGATCCGGATCAGTGTAATGGGGTGGAAAACAGCCCCTGCCTGCTCTTTGCAACCACGAGTTTTGATGCTCTTTCGTCTTGTCAAAAAGAGATATGACTGGTCATGAATCACACTAACATGAAGTCAGAGGTGGAACTTTAGCATCAATCCTGATTCTACTCCACTTCACATCCTACAGCCGAAGATGAGTGTCTCCTTAGATATTGCCCCATTCCTTTTCTCTTGTAATGAGCTAAGGTTTTTAGGAATATTGAATAATGTACTGCTTGTTTCAGATTTCAAAAAGCCTTCTGAATTTCTACATTGGTAGCTCTGTGTATTGAGAAGTTTTTAAATATTATTTTTTGATTCCTCTCCTTTCTATATCCATTGTTTGGCACCAATTTCCAAATTCTCTCATCACATCATTGAGTAACTGTAAATTGAACAGATATGAGAAATAATTTTTTAAAAACTGCAATTATAGCCATTAAATGTTAACTTCTATGAGGTTTCTACTTCCACACCCATAGTCTAACAGCCTGTGTGCTTTTTAGAGGAAAGATAACTGTTTTGGTTCCTTCCAAATATTCACTTAGTCCATACTCTGGCGCAACCTGAGGTGAGAATATTCAACGGAAGCGAACAGCTTCAGAGACCGAGCCCTGCTTTCTGCCAGAGCAGTTGTTCTGCTCTCATTTTATGGACATGGTGACTCATGTACCTGATCAAATTTCCCTCTCTGTGCAGACTGCTGGGAGAACTCAGGAAAAAAACAGATTCTGTCTTCTGTACGAAATATGTAGGACTTTCTTGTGTGTATCCTGTCCCATCCGTATTCCTAGCTGTTTCATAATCCACCTTTGGCTTCATCTTCTTCCCTACCTCAAATATATGGCTTCTGCTACTGCTCTAGGCCTTACCTATTGAAAAGATGCAGAGTATATGAAGATATTTAGGATATACAGAGAAGTGCATGTATACAGACAGAGTGCATAGGTGCACATACAAAAACCAATACAAAAGGCTGTCATTCAAGAGAAAAAAATGAAATTAAAACACACATTTTAAATAAATATGTTAATTCTATATAAAAGTTTCCATAATTAGATTTCTTCAGCCAGAAGGAATATATTCAAGACTTAACAAACTTTTACATACACTGTTCTTAGTGTTTTTAAGTTCCTGGCAAAAAGAAGGGCAGAGTTCTTTTAAGACTAATTAAATTGTTTTTCTCAGCAAGGGAAGAAGCTTTAGTTTCAAGATGGGGAAAATACTGGTGAGAGAATTACTTGAATAATAATAATAATACAATGCCTTGTCCGGATTTGAACAATGGCCAGGCCATATTCAAAACTATCTGTCAGTATAAATAAAACCTCACTTAACCAAGCTTCTTTCTGAACATGCATTATTTTAAAGGCAGAGACATTCAGAATCAATACTTAATAGTTAGAATAGTTTTCCTGTTCTTGCTGCCAGAGTTTTCTTTTTTAATATAATGATCACAAAGCTCTTTCATGAATTCTAAACACAGAAAAAATCAACAGGAAAGTATTGTTTTCCTTATCTTTAAGGTAAGTGCACAAATTTTAGAGCTATTTCCAAGTTATTCAGAAAGATTTCTGACAAAGATTTTGTCCTTGCCTGTTTTAGTCAGGTTTCTTCATTATTGTGACTAAAGGACCAGATTAAAACAATTGTAGAGGAGGAAAAGTTGATTGGGGAGCCTTATGGTTTCAGAGGTCTCAATCCATAGACAGCAAGCTCCATTCCTTGAGGCTTAAGGTGAGGTTCAACATCACAGTGGAAGAGGCAGAAGAAAGCAGCTCACATGGTGAACAGGAAGGGGAGAGAGAGAAGAGAGAAGAAGGAGACCACTCTCCAGACAAAATACATACCCTGTAGCCTGCCACTTCCTCTAGCCACATTCCCACCTACCTCCAGTTACCACTCAGTTAATCCCACTAGAGATTGATTCACTGATTAGGTTAAGGCTATAACCCAATCATTTCTCCTCTAACCCTTCTTGCATTGTCTCACATGTGAGCTTTTGGGGGACACCTCACATCCAAACCATAACATTGGCGTAACTCAGACTCCTAGGAGTCTTCTTTCTGACTAGGTATGGATCTTGGGCTGTGTACTTGTTGGCTTATTCCAGGCTTAGCAAGAGTCTTAAGATACCTCTTAGAAATATTCCATCTGCTAATGCCTAATTTTGACGCTTAACCCTAAATCCTCATGTTTCCTTATTGAATAGTTGAATCTGACCCCTCTTCCCTTACACAAAGCTCCACTGAGTACACATCTGAATAAAGTCTTCCTTGCTATCTCCAACAAGTGTTGTTTATCTCCTCTTATTCTCTCTCTCTCTCTCTCTCTCTCTCTCTCTCTCTCTCTCTCCCTCTCTCTCTCTCTCTCTCCACACACACACACACACACACACAAACATTCATGTTCTTAAGCCGCAGTCTTAAGGAGTTAATACAGAAAATGCATGGTTTAAATAAACACAGACTGTCATTCTCAGAATGCCAGTAAAATTGTATGTCACAAGTTTTGTAACATTTTAATATATGTCCAAATTGACTTATTTGTAAAATGAAAACACACCTTAGACCCTCTGAGAATATTCACAGATAAATTACTTTTTCTTATTCAATAATGTTTAGAGAATGACTTCTGCCTATCACAGTTTTGCAGAGCATAGTGTCTGATTTCTCCAACTTTGCCTTAGACCATCACTTATTAGCTGTAAGCACTAGGAAGCCCAGCTCCTCTAGATCAGTCAGGAGCCTGCTGCAGAGGAACTGTCAGCAAACTCACGTGGAGGAAAAGCTAACATCCACACCACACAGGTCCCCATCAGCTTCATAGTCTAACTGGGACTAAGTCCTCTAATGCCCACTCTCCAGTGAATTTGCTCATGGAATTTTCCCATTTTTGTACACTATGCCTTTAAAAAATGCATCTTCTTAATTTCCACTAACCAAACACTGTGAGTTTCACCTTAACCACCAAATGTGTGTGTGTGTGTGTGTTTGTGTGTGTATGTGTGTGTGTGTTTATTTTTATAGAAGGAAAGAAAGTATTTCTTTAATTTCTCAGTATCCTGTTGTGAATTTCTTACCACCAGATGGCAGGATGCACCAGGAAGTCAAACCACTGTGTGCTGCACATCTTGAGGGTGGTACTAGTATCAAAGTAGAGAAATCCTGACAAATGAGTGGAGAACTTGCAAAAGAAGAGGGGTGATTAATTGTGCTGATTAAGCCCTGGAGTGGGGAGGGGCCTGCTGGGACTGCTGAGTGTGC